TGTTCTTCTCTCAGAGCTGCCACCATTTTGGTTTAGGGGTACATGTGAGCAACATGAATTATGTAAGAAGGTTCAAAAACAGTATGCTGTTACACAGCCTTTTTAAAAATCTTTTTTTTCCCTCAAAGAACGAAAAAGAACTTTGTTTAAAGTTAAAGCTGTATACCAGGGCCTTTAAAATGGAGCTGAAAACTGCAAGACATTAGTTTGGTATGCAACTTGAAATCATCAGAGAGATGCCATCTATGTGCAGATTCATGAGTTTAACTGTTGATTTAGTGCTCAGGAATGCCATTCTAAAAGGAGGCTTGCGGCTCAACTTAAGCTATGCATTCAAATCACTCCATTCCTGCAACCAACTGATTCTTTCCATCCCCCGATCTCATTTGCCCTTACGCCGTCAAGTGACCAGCGTAACCAACGGCGCATACAACACACGTAGCTGTGCATTTATATTTCTGCGCATTGTCTCTGTTAATCTGCATTAACACTTCAAAAACGTTAGTTGGCAGTGAGGTGTTAATGTGTCTCTGTGTAGAGTTTCTTCGCTGGTGTTTTGTTCTTTCTGAACGCTTCCAGGATGTACAAGTGGCTCAAACTCAGGAACCGGCGGACGTGCAACAACTTTAACTATGAGGTAAGCACAAAACAAAACTTTCCATCCGAAGCTTCTTCTCGGGACTCCACACTTGTAAACAATTGCTCCATCGGGCTAGCACCGCTCACGCAGCTCTCGGTCCCACCTAGACCCGTCACCGCTACCAAGCCGACCAATCACAGAGCTTGCGCTACGCATCATTGCGACGTTTAATTACATTTATTGAGAGGTGCAAGTCAGCGACGCCAATGGACACGGCGTAGGACTATGCATTGACGCAGAAGTATAAATCAGCCTTTATATTCTCACTAGGCATGGTTGCCTTGAACAGTGCTGAAGCGTGGTTGTCCCCCCTTCCCTCCGACAGCCTGCACTCACACTGCATAACAGGAAGAGAAACACTCTTGCTCAGAACAGTGGACATTTCTTTAGTTATATCGTTTTGTTTTATTTTATGTAGTTTGTGATGAAGTGACACCGTAAGATATTTTGCTGAACAGATTTATCACTTTTATGGTAATTTATGAGCGTCAAAAGTCATTGTGCTGCAGGTATCAGGAAGTGCAGCTGACGTGCAGTGAGGGGTTTGCGTCTATAATAAACTATGATAGTTTGCGTTGATTGAAAAGTAAGAATGATCTATAAATCCATATGGAACAGTCCCTTTGGGATTTCAGTTTGGCGGTCAGGCACGCTTTGTACTCGCACTACAAGCGTACAGCACCACAGCACAACAGAACCATGCTCTGGCTCACCTCTTCCAACTGAGCCAGGGCCAGTTAACTGAACCTCACCTGGGCCCACTTTGGAGTACTCACACTTGTCAAACCAACTGAGGAACATTCCCGGGCACGGTTCAGATAGCATTGAGTAAGCCCTAAGGGTGACTAAACTTTTGCAGCTGTGGCCCTAACAGTAGAATGCATCTCCAGTAGCCATGAGGTCATTACCTGCACAGTTGACTTTTTAAATCTAGATTAAACAGTAATTTGTTCTCCTTAGCCTTAGGGCTTGTATCTTCAACTGACCTATATTCAAGGACAATTGCAAAACTAACATCCTTCCCTGAGACCCAAGACTCAGGGAAACTCACCCCACCCCAAAGCCTGAAAAAGCCCCGTCATTGACCCTGATGAGGCACCAGAGTTTACTGTGAAACATGACTTGCACAGGCATGCTCACTTTAGGTTTGACAGTGAAAACACGACTATGTGTATGAGTTCTCCACCGGTCCTGTAATGTAAACTTAAAAGTGCTCCACATGAGAAATTCTGTATACTTGCTTTAACCATCTGGACGTTTAAGCAATTTATGTTGGGGATTTTCCCACCATTGGTTTACGTAATTCCAGGGCTCATTTAATTCAGTATGACTTAGTATGGCTTTTGAGGACTCTCCAAAGTGTATAGTGCCAAGAAATTGTGCATTTTGGTACCACCTCAGTTATTCAGTTATCACTGATTGGCAAGAAATATTTCACACGCTACATCATTGGATTTCTGACATAGGACAGTTAACATGCTTATTTAATGGGCACCTATTTTAACCCTTTTTCAAGATTTCAGAGAAGTCTTTTGTGTCTCTGGAATGTTTATTTAATATATTTGTTGTGGAGTTTATTCAAGCCTTTCTGCAACGATGACTTGCATACAATTTTGTCACAATGTTCGCGCACACAGCATGCATGTTTACCTTTGTACGTTTTTTGCACAGCAATTATGACAAAAAAGACTTGTGTTTTTATTACTCCAAAACAGGCACGTGCACACATAGTGCTCAACCTGTGCAGTGCACATGCCCTTTTTAGTCTTGGATAGAAAGTGCCCTTCCAAAATGATCAAAAGTGCCCCCGCGACGCGGCACACCTTCGGTCCCGCCTTTCAGTACGCGCGCGATAACACCGCTCTTCAGTATGCGCGCATCCACTCTGCAGATCTGCAGCAGCAACTCCCCACTCCCCCCATGCCCTTTGGACGGTCTCTGCACGGGCCTGCTCCAAAATGATAGTGGACACACTATATCTACACACAGTTCTTTCCAAACAGCTTACCATTGATGCCTTTCATAATAGGTGCCCTTTAAAAAACATTTAGCAACAGCAACTGCAGAATCATTTAAACAACTGCCACATGGAGCCTAAAATGTTTTTTATCATGGTCGGTAGACAAGGTCCAAACAATAAGGTACATAGAAACTGATCCAGTAAGAGCTAAATGGGATCAACTCAATGAAAATATTTCAAGTCCCTCAGCTCTTGGCTGAGTACATGGCTACCACAGAAGCTACAGTGTAGGAACAAGTGTACAAGAAACTGACCACATCGCTCCATAGCTAATGTGGTCAAATCCATTTTAACCACTGAGATCCTGCCAGCTGGACCCACACATCTAACTAGTTCACTTTGGAATGACAAAAACAAAATCTTATCTACGTACCTGGAAGACCACCATCACTGCACATTTTGCCATGTCTCCTTAACCAAACACACCTGATTCAGATCAGCAACTCATTAGTAAAGACTACGGCCCCGTTTACACTGCCAGTTAAATGTGACCCAATTCTGATTTTTTGCTCATATGTGACACAGATCGGATCTGTTCTATGATCGTGTAAACACAAAAAAAACGCATGCATTCGGATATTCAGAGATCGTTTTCAGGCCTACTTCATATGTGGAAATAAATCAGATACAGATCGGATATGTGACAATGCGACTGTCATGTAAACAGGCAGATCGGATTTGAGGCATTTCGTTCTGTACATCATTAAACTTGCGACAATGTGATGCTTCTCCGCGGTTTAATGACAGAAAGAAGAGCGTGTGTGGAGATGCCGATGCAGTAAACAACATCAGAGTAAACACAGAGGAGGAAAGTGGACATTCGCCACAATTTGCTCCCACCGGACCTGGGATCTCTCTCGCACCCACAAATTCCTCTGAATGGTGGAGGACATTATAAAGCATAAACCATAAGCGCAAGCTGCAATGACGGCCCCCACCTCCGCCTCAAAATCATTTTAAAGTTGAGCGAACTTCGTGTTGTAACCTTGCTTTTTGTTGCTATTAATACACGCAATGCGGGCTACACATAACTTTATTCTCCAACACTAGTGCGCACACAGGCAAAGGCTACATCAGGGCCATACCATTCAATAAACTGCGTGGGGGTATATCTGGACTAAACCATTCACTGCTTATACTACACTTCGCATATTTCGCAGAGACAATTTCTTCCATCGTGGCTAGAGTGGCACAGATGCTGGAACCCGCCTTTATGCATGTGAAAGATCATAAATTGTTGGCAAGTGTAAACACATGAATTGGATATGGGTCGCAATTAAAACAACGTGTAAACAGACAGGCAAACAAATCAGATACAGGCAACAAATTGGGCACTGTCAAGACCTGACAGTGTAGACGGGACCTACAAGACCTGAAAAGGATGTGACAGACAAAAGAGATATGAAAACCGTGCTATTGGTCCTCCAGGAAAGTGGATGAGAACCATTGCTTCAAAAGTACAGCTGTCAGTGCGGCTTCAGATCAATTTCAAATATACAGCCAAAAATGTCAATTGCAAAGCTTTTAAAGTTGGCATAAAATGAAAATCTGGAAATACATAGGCATAGCTGAATAATAAATGTTCAGTACCAGGAGCAAACATACAGTGAATCTCAAACAGTTATGTAACCTTTTCCTCATGTAAAGTCTAAAATTCAGGGGAAAAACAGGCCAGTTAGAACAAACCACCCACTCTGACAATACACACAAAATTATTAATCAGCATACCTTAGGCAGCATTTAATTTGCCACAAGGTTTCCTATTGAGATTACAACAATGATCATACTTCCAGTTTGAAACTCAGTTTTAGTTCCCAGAATGCTGTTGTGATGTTTAAAAAAAAAAAAAAAGTTACCAATTTTGGCTGAAAATGTTGTCATATAAACAACCACTTATGGCAAGAGAATCTTGAAACTTCGAAAACAACCAGGAATGGTTAAAAACAAAATGACCTGAATTCCACTTGGAAAACCTGATAATAACAGCATGAAACACCTTTAAAATCTGGACCACCACATGCCTGCAAGACTAAACTATAATGTGAACTGTCATTTAACCAATGTATAGTTGGCTTTTAATTCATCAATTATAACAAGAAAGCTGTCCATTGCATTTAACAATTTGATTTAATTAATTTATTTGTATTTTAAAAAATGAAAGGTAAGTGCACCTAATTAGTAGATAATTCAGTTAACAGAAATCTTAAATTATTGCAACTTAAGCAATGTGTATTTAGCTCAACCAAAATACAAAAATGGTGGTCTCGTGATGTTTGCATACATAAAACAAAGTATTTTGCAGCTCGAATGAACAAAAGAAATTCAATAATTACAAAGCTGTAGAAGAAAAACAGAATTCTTTATTTAAACAAGTGAAACCAGACTTGCACAAAACTACTGATGTCAGAGAATAGTAATAGTATGTTTCGTAACATGGCGATACAAAAAATAAAAATAAATAAATAAAAGCTTCGCTGTTTGACCTGTATGGAGACTAGTGAAATCTAGGTTGTTGGTTACAAAAACATCTAAAATACAAATTACTAAAATGTACTAATGAATAATTGCAGAATTGCTTCTGATATGCATTAAATTTCAGATACTCTGGTATTATAAAGATTCTTTTACAGGTCCCTTAAGTTTGTGTATGACACAATTTAGAACTGCAACAGCATATCCAAAAATCTGAAAACGCACAAGATTATTTGATGGGAACATTTTATATACATTAAATGCAGCACACAAGAAAAACAATCATTTGAAACCTCTGAAAAGCCCAATGATATAGAAGTACAACATTTTAAGAATAGAAAATGTAAAATGTTTCAGTATCTATGAGCACTGTTAATGTTACTGACATTAACTACATCTTTAGTGTGGACACTCTCTTGTAATAGGTCTGCACAGTAAAAAGATATCTGTAAATTAGCAGCTTTTTCATATTTTGTGATTCACGTTTATATTTTTTAATAGTTTAAAGTGATATATTGTCTGGGTTGGTGTTGTATGTTATTGTACAAAAAACTTGTAATAAACTGCCAATACATTTTTTTTTATTTATTGACTTATTTCTCTCTACATTATTTTGTATACGTTTTATCATTTTAAACTATTAAAATGCCAATAGAAGTCAATTTGTTAAACCCTAGAGTTTTATTTCCAACATCAAAGGTCAACAGAGAAGAGATCAAGGTACCATAATGCAATTCACAACAGCAGTTAAACAGAAAACACTTGTGAATCATAAAATAAGGAAACTGTTAAATAACAGAATTTGTTTACAGTGTGGCTAGGTATTCCAACTCTAGTACAACTATATTAGTAGAACCATTTTCCAGAAGGACAGCTTGCATGAAGACCTAAATGCCTTTGGGTACAGAACATCAACACATTTTCCAACATCGGTCCCCGACCTCACATGTAATCAAAATTTTATTTTAGACAAAAGACACAAGTAGAACAAAAGCATTAATGTATTTCCTTTTGCTGCAGTAAAAGATTTCATCCCTCTTTGAAAGAACACTATTGTAAAGGCCGAGCATGAAGTAGGTCAGGAAATAATATTATGTAACCCCTTTAGTGGCTCGTAGTTTGCAATCTCAATACCTCCCCCTAAGATGTTCCAGTAGGGGTTAGGTCAGGGATTTGCACGTCACTAGCATTTTTCACCACATGAACAAGTAGACGATAGCTCTGAGCACAGGGACATTGGCTGGCTGGATAAGAAATATGCCCACCCTCCCAAAAACAAACAAACAAAAAAAAAGGTTTATGGAATAACCATTATACTGACATTTATGGATGAGCCAAATCTGTTAATTACAAAAGAGTGTCCATATGCTGTTGGCCATATTGTGTATCACTAGATCTGAGAACATTCAGAAGATTCATTCAGTATTTCTGATGACATGTCAATATTTGCATTTGAATCCGGATATTCGGTAGGAGAATCTTCTTGTTGAACTTGGGAATTAATGTCATTAGTTTCGGGAGGTTTTGTGACATCCGTCCCCGGGTCTCTTTTATGATGACACTCAAGATGGCGATTTAAAGCAGAGGTGAATGAGAAGCGACTTGGACAGAGAGGGCAACTTAGCAATAATCTGTAGGGGTTTCTCTTGTGGTGAACCATATGCCGCTGAAAAACACTAAGTAGTCCAAAGACTCTGCAACATTCTTTGCATTTATACTTCATCTTTGGCTTGAAAGTTTTCTTAAATCGAGAACCAAACAGGTCTTCTGACTTGGATGAGGGTTGATTTTCTTCTTCAAGATCTTCCTGTTCACCATCGCTTGTTGTTTGTGTTGATTCTTTCATAGGTTCCTGTTCACCATTTCCAGTCTCATGTTCCATCGTTGACTCTTCCTGAGATTTGGATTGAAGCTCTGAAGCGTGGTACATGGCCACATGCCTTGTGACATCACATCTTTGTGGAAAGTGCCTTCCACAATAAACACAGGCATGCAGAGTACCTTTATGGTATCGCATATGACGCGAGAGACTGCTTGAGTGTACAAAGACACGATGGCAGTGCTTGCAGGAGAATAATTTACCAGTATAGGTGGCCCTGTTGATTCTCTTAGGTTTTCCTTTTATGTTCACCCTTAGCAACTGCTTGTGCTGCTTTGCAACCATGTGTCGCATTACACCATGGTATTGTTGTTTTGCCTTAGCTGGTAAAACTGAAGAATCCTTTACTTCAATCTCATCTGGATGTTCGACTTTATGATGCTCTCTTAAATCTGAAGTGTTGAGAAAATTTTGGCCACACAGTCCACAACATGGTTCATTGAATTGAGAGATAACTGAATTATCATCAATTTTCCTGTTTTCTTCTCCAAGTGCTTGATCTTGCATAACCTCATTGGGCGACTTATTGACACGAGAATGACTGTTGAGGTGGCTTTGTAAGTCAGACAACCAAAAGAAGCGCAAGCCACAAGATTTGCAAGGATATGACCTATCCATGCTGTTTTCTTGATCTTCCTGTGATCTACTCAAAATCCTGGAAGAAGCAGATCCATGCCACTGTTTTTGATGGGACAGCAAGGAATCTTGTCTTAAGAATCGCTTTCCACAGTGCCCACAACTATAAAAGCGTTCATGAGCATGGTTTTGAAGGTGGTTCTGCAGGCTCTCTCGATCATTTAACACCTTGCAGCACAGAGTGCATTTGAACCCCTGTTCAAGAGCACGATACTGCTGATGCAGATGTAAGCTTTTGGAGGTTTTGAACAGTTGTCCACATCTATCACATTTATACAGAGCAGGCTCTTTTTCTGGCATCTTAGATGGAACAATGGTTTCTTGACTGGGGGGTGGGCAGAATCTCTTTGGTTGAGGTTTTCCAAACAAGAAGGTAAAGTTAGACAAGACGGATCGATCAACCACAGTAAGTGTTCCATTTTCATGGAGCGCAACCTCAATGGATGGGTTGACAGAACTACCATTACTAATACCATCAGAGGAAAATACGCCAGTAAGTCCATGTATGGCCATGTGTTCAACAAGTTTTGGATACAGTCTAAATCCTTCACCACACTCTGTACAGATGAAGGCATCTCCTCCTCTTAACTCTTGAGTAAAGTTCATTGAGAATGCCATCTTGACAAAACCAAATACAGCTTTTTAGGAATGATAAATGTCAATAGTTTAGGAAGTTGGGAGCATAATTATGCAAATATTCAGAAACTTCTATATATGCATGATAACTTTTAATATTGCAATTATTGTCCAATAAATGTAATCTGTTCCAGTCTCACCTCAGTTATTAAACAAAGCTAGATTCCCCTACACATCTAATAAAACCCAACTAGTCAAAGCAGCACTTAAATTACTACTCTAACATCAATAAAAATAAAAAAAAAGAAAATTACATATAGGATTAAAGGGTATCATTTAAAAAGTCTTTGATTGTCAAATCAATCATTATCAACTGTTTTAAAAAATCTGTCATTTGACCATAAAACAGTGATGTAAACCTCGTCAGGTATATGGCCTGCCTTCATTCAGATGCTGGCTCACAATTCAGATATTGCCATCTGCAAAAAAAAGAGAGAGAAAATAATTAGTGGCAAGCAATGGTTCTTATGTACATAAAAGATATACCCACACAGTGGTGTGAATAGGTGATTGCCCCTTACTGATTTCTAATTCTTTTGACGTGTGAAAAAGTTTTGCCCTCTAAATCTGATAACTGGTCGATTACCAACAATTACGTTTATGACAAGCTTCATTTTCTAACATGCAATGAGATTGTTAAAGCACTGCTGATGATTTTTGGCTTACTCATCTTTGCAGAATTCTTGTAATACTGCCACAATGGAGGGTTTGACTATGAACCGACTTTGGCCAAATCCCAATTCTTTTTTATATCTATTCACCTCGACCTACCTATATCCCCCTAAGAATCAGAACACCACTACTATACATGCACATGTCATCATGATTTCCCCCCAAAATGTTTCTTTAAAAATAACACATGAATATAATAAATCAGCTGCTGAGTAGTAATAATCCTTATTAAAGCACTTTTACTTTGGTGGGTTTCCTTGCTCGGTTTACAGCAGTGTTGCTACTGTAGCTGGTGTAGTCAGAGAAAACTATCATACCCCTTCATTTGTAGTGTGGTCCTGAAACATCTTCGTTTGAAGAGCTCTATGGCTTTTCCCTTAACCCATATGCCTCCAAGCTAAAGAGGATTGGCACACTCCCACCCCTTTATGTGAACGCACAAACAGAGGGGTAAGGGTAAGCGGAAGGGCAAAAGGGTAGAATTGGGATTGTGTCTTAAGGTCTTGTCACAGAATCTCAATTGGGTTCAGGTTAGGACTTTGAGTAGGTCACTCCAAAGTTTTAATTTTGTTTTACTTCAGCCATTCAGAATTGGAATTGTTGGTGTTCTTTGGATCATTGTCCTGCTGCAGAACCCAAGTTCGCTTCAGCTTGAGGTCACTAACAGATGGCCGGACATTTTCCTTCAGGGTATATGTTACACAGCAGAATTTATGGTTTCATTTATCACAGTATGTTTTCAGGTCCTGAAGTAGCAAAATACCCCTAGACTATCACACTACCAGGACCACATTTTACTGTTGGTATGATGTTCTTTTCTGAAATACGGTGTTACTTTTACACCACACATAATGGGACACACACCTTTCAAAAAGTTAAACTTTGAATATTTTCCCAAAAGTGTTGGGGGGACATCGAGATGTTTTCTGGCAAAACTGAGACAAGCCTTTGTTTTTTTTTTTTTGCTCAGCAGAGGTTTTTAGTTATGAAACTCTTCCATGTAAACCATTTTTGCCCAGTCTTTTACTTATGGTGGAGTCATGAAAACTTCTTAACTGAGGCAAGTGAGGCCTGCAGTTCTCTGGTTGTTGCTGTGGGGAAACAAAAGACCAATTTAAATGTCAGGGGTTTCATGGCTAAATTTGACCAGCCTGGTGGCCTATCTTCGTTGATTACACATTCCACAAGAGCAGAGTGTTAAGGTTTAACTAGAACCTAAAGTTTATCGATGAACTTGATGTTGGCTTGAGAAAGCCAACTTGACTGCACTAGGACTCAAAGGCAGCTGGCAGGAAGTGATCGGCATCAAAAGGCACAGTGCCTCCAATACTGCACTTCTGATTGGGGGGGTGGGTTGTTGTTTTGAAGGCAAAGAGCTAGTGGGGGGTGGTGGTGTAGAAGAGCTGATGAAGGGAAGAGGAGGTGGTAGAGAAAGTGAAAAGTTGTTAGGGTAAGGAGCCAGTAAGAGGGAGTTTGTTCCAATGTTATGAGTTGAAGTCTCTATGTCTTAAATGTAAGTTTCTTCCACATTGTAAGTCAAAGAGCAAATTTGGGGCACTCTTGCCCAGGGGTGCAACTTACATGTAGATTTAATCAGCTTGGCAGCTTCTTTTATTGTGAAAGATCACGTTTTTAAAAATTTCTCTTTTGAAGTTATGATCCGTCAAAGTTTGGTCCAATGTTAAGTTAATGTGATTTTTCCAAGATTTTCGGGTCATTTTCTGGAAAATCGAAAGTCAGATCAGTTTGAAAAGATAAAGCAACTCGAGTCAAACTAGTTTAATGCCTCATTCACACTAGCAGCGACTTAGCTGCCTGTCACTCTGGGTGGCCACCAGCTGCAAACAGGTCTGTGTAGGTCTACAGCACAGAGAATACAACCGGCCTCTGAGCAAGCAGAGAGAGGATCCTATGAGTTCTACTGGTGCTCCTTTTGGCTGTCGCACAAGAAAGTCACTTTTCATTTGCAAAAAGTTGAAGGATTTTCAACTTTGTTGCGTTGCTCGACATGCCCACCTGGTCGCCAACGATCACTCATTCGCATAGACGAAGGTTGCCGAAAGTAGCCCGCTCTCCGTTAAAATGAACGGTTGCTTGTCGCTTTACCGCTGCGAGTCGCTCTTAGTGTAAATGAGGCTTAAAGGGTCACGAAACACAAAAAACACATTTTTTCAGATGTTGACAGTAATATATGTGTGCCATGCTGCTATAAACACTATTAGGACACATTTAGTTAACTAAAAAGTGAAAATTGGTTGTTTTAGTGTTATTTTGAGCAAATTAATTTTCCGGTTTGAAACAAATTTTTGAAGCTGTCTCACAGCGATTAGATCCTTGTGTGTATTACAGCATGGATAGTGGATGTCTGTACCTGCAAGTGCATCGTGACGTCTCTGAAGCAGCAAGCAATAATTCATGAGACAGACTTGGCTCAATCTAATCAACGCGCTCTGCTGTGTATGCAATACAACTTCATTAATATGCATGATAGCTTCGAAGACTGTTTTTATCTGTTACAGTGTTCAGACGACAGAGACGCCACGTTGTGTTGCCAAAACAAATGGAAGAATAAGAATTTGGAGACATGGGTCATCAGTGTTGAGTTTATCAATGTGCTGCAACAAAGGTTTTGTTTCATTTTCTTGCTATGAGAGCGCAGCTGGACTCAAATGTGGACTACAGTGCATGCAACAGAAATACATTTATAAGGAACATTTTTTACAGAGCTTTTCGCATCTGGAAATGATAAAATTCGGATTTACCACTCATCTCCTTTTAAAAAAGACGTGGCTCCAGTTGGTGTTGATTGTCCTGTCTCTACAGATTTGGTAAGTGTGTTTGATCAGTGCCCTTTGTTCATTCAGAAGTTAGTTCGTATTGTCAGTAGTACTCTTTCAGTTTTTAAAGACATACCTTAGTCAAAATGATTTAGTTACTAAGTTTACAGTATGTTAATATCCCTACAATATTATAGTACAATATTATAGGCTGAAAGATCTGCTGTAAATGCTGCTCTCCGAATGTAAACGTTAACATCTTAAAGAGCGCCTATTATGGGTTTTTAAAAATAAGCTTCCATGCAGTGTGTAACACAGCTCTAAGGGAATGAAAACATCCAGCTGAGGTTTAAATCTAAAAGTGCAGCATGTTTAAAACTATTGATTCTTTAGCGAAATATTTGACTCAAGAGTCGAATAAATGAATCGAGTTGGGTTAGGATCTTTTGTTGGATCGCATCGATGTCAATACAGTACATCTCCAAATATGTACTTAGAGTAAAGTTAAAATGTGCATGCGCTTTCCCTCCACACATTAGCAGTGGCACAGGGGACCACGGGACTGATCATGACACGAAGATGACGATCACTGACAAGAGATTCGGCTGTGGGCAGGGGTGCACGTACGACAGCAAGAACCGGGGCGGTGGGGGAGATTATCATGGACGAAAGTTAGGAGATGTCTCCGACGCCCTCTCTCTATTCTGCCGCCTGGGTCCTTGATGGAGCAGAGACAGCAGAGACTATGGGACTTTGTCAGACTTTGACGGTGACTTTGTCAGTACTTAACTTTTACAGTTCATATGGACCAGTTTCTTCTTCCATCCGATCATAACACGTAAGTGTCATTAAAGTTGTTGCCTCGTTTATTTTGTAGTTTGCAAAATATGTTTAATTGTGAGTTGTAACTTGTAATTGCTCAGTCTGGCTTGTAATCACGTATCTATTATAGATAATTTCTTGTACTTTATTTCTTAGGTTAAATCTGTATGGGGCTGTACACATATCGCGTCTAAAACCACATTAAAAATGCGTTGCGAGCTTCTTTCTTTACCGATTTAAATGCCTTTCTGAGCTGGCGAATTTTCAAAATAGTTCATTTTTTTGCCACTGTGTGCATTAATACTGAATGTGTGTTGTAATTTCTTTAGGTTGGGTTTAAGAGTAGAGCAATATGCTGGTGTTTAACTGCATTCATTTATTGCATTCCTGCGCTGGGCTCTCATATACTCTCTGGCTGCTATTTCATAGCCTTGGTGGGCTTTTCTCGCTGTCTTGTGCTGAACGATGTCGACCAGTCGCAACAGACTGGGTCATCGGACCAATCAGAGCAGATTAGCTTCGCGCTAACAAACTGTTACTGTCGTGTAGGATTTTCGCCGCATTTTGTGCAGAATAGTCTATAGCAGGGATGCCAAACTCAATTCCTGGAGGGCTGCAGCTCGGCACAGTTTAGTTTCAACCCTGCTCCAACACACTTACCTGTAGGTTTCAAACAAGCCTGAAGGACTCAATTAAAATTAGGGTTGGAACCAAACTGTGTAGGGTTGCGGCCCTCCGGGAATTGAGTTTGACATCCCTCGTCTATACACACATGGCTTTCTGACGATGTGTTACCTACCGAGTACATCTAAGTTACTGAGAAACGCAGAGTTTTTTTTCTCCCATTTGCCGTGCGGGAACAAACATTCCATTAAAACTACACTCTCCAGCAGGTCTTTCTCGCATTCAACATCTCAGTTGTCACGTGGAGCATGCATGAAATGTTCCTGAATGAAAGTGCAAAACTGCAGGTAAAGTTGACAAATTAAGAATTTGGCAAATAATTTGATTACTGATGTCCATGTAAATATGAACTTTCTCAATGCACAAAATAGGACAAATTGTTGGTGCAAGTCTTGCTGGCACATTGGTCTTGCAGAACAAGACTGCAAGTCTTTGTGAAATATTAAGAGCAGTATTCAAGATAATGTTAGCATCCCACTAAGAACCACAAACCACATCCAACAGGAGAATTGTGGATGCAAAAGAAAGCTGTCTGAAAGAGAAGTTCTATGCTAACCTGATTTGCATCCAAAAACATAAAACCACAGCTGCCCAGCTCACTGTAGAATTCAATGTGCACCTTAACTCTCCTGTTTTCAACAAAACTGTTCTTCAACTAGCCGGGTTTCCGGTCTCGCACCTAAAGCAAGTGTGTCACTTCCAGAGTGCCATCAGGCCAAAGCGGGGCTTTCTTGGGGCCAGCGGTTGGCCTTTTTTGGCCCACCAAATACCTTGGGGCCAGCTGGGTTTTTGGGGCAGAGTGACAGCAAAGACAGAGTTTGCCCGAGTATGGTAAAGATGGTTGGCTGCCATTTCACTAGGGCTATGGACAATATGAAACATGTATTAATCTCTGATGAGTCCACCTAGTCTTTCCCAAATCTGGAGGAGTTAAGCCTGATTTATACTTCTGCGTCAAATGACCGGCGTAACCCACGGCGCACGCAACGTGCGTGGCTGTACATTTATACTTCTGCGCGCTGTCTCTGTTGGTCTGCATTAACACTTCCGAAACGCTAGTTGGCAGTGAGGTGTAAATCTTCCTCTGTGTTGAGTTTCTTCGCTGCTTTTTTGCTTTTCCTGAACACTTCCGGAATGTAAAAGTGGCTCAAACTCGCTCATTTTGAGGCAGGAACCAGCGGACGTGCAACAACTTTAACTATGGTCTTGGTCCCGCCCAGACTCGTCAGCGCTACCAAGCGGACCAATCACAGAGCTTGGGCTACGCGTTGTTGCGACATGTAGTTACATTTTTTGAGAGGTGCACGTCAGTGACGCCGATGGCCACGGCGAAGGGCTATGCGTCAGCGCCGTAGCATAGGCCGGCGTTTGACGCAGAAGTATAAATCAGCCTTTACAGTGTGGAGAGCCCACAAAGAAGACTGTTGTATACCCAGAGTAAAGCATGGGGGTGAATCAGTGATGGCTTGGGCTGCGATATCATGGCATTCTCTAGGCCCAACACTTTTGCTACATGAGTGTGTCACTACCAAGAACTACCAAACCATTCTGGAGGACCATGTGCATCCAATGGTTCAAACACTGTATCCCGAAGGCGGTGCGGTGTAACAGGATGATAATGCATCAAAAATTGGTGACAATGGTTTGATAAAAATGAAAGTGAAGTTGAAAATCTCCCATGGACTGCACATTCACCTAAGACCTAAATATTTTTGAGTCATTTTGGGGCTTTTTCGGAGGAATGAACCAGGAATCGTTTTTCTCCACCAGCAACACGTAGTGACCTGGCCACGTTTCTGCAAAAAGAATGGCTAAAAATCCCTATGGTCACTGTGCAGGTATTGTATCTGTCATTCCCAAGATGAATTGATGCTGCAAATGGCTGCAAATAGAATCCCTAAAGCAGTGGTTTCCAAACCTTTTTATCACCACAGACCAGTCAATGCTCGAATGATGCGGATGTTGGGGTATTGGTGGGGTGGGTGGGGGTTATGGTTCGTAGGTTGTCAGGTGACAATCAACAGTTTTTTCAGAGGATGACAAGCTGACAATCATTGCTGTCACTCTGAGACAAGTTTTATTTATGGAGAAAATTGCTGTGTTTGGGTGCTCTGTGTATTGACAGAGATAATTAGTGTACCGAAATGTGTACGTTCTATACAAAGTATGAAGCTGATCAGTCAGTTCAGTTCTTGTGACTCACGATGCGCTCCCAGAATTTATTCAACTGGCCGCGTTAAGAAGGCGCGAGCCCGTCATGCTGCTTGCGCACAAAAGCTGCACACCTCTATTGGAAATAACTAACCTGCGTGAACTCAATAAAAGATGCAATATGCGAACGGCCTCTAAAAAGCCATTATCATTTTTGATCTCCAGCAGTTGATCTTTTTGCACAGACATAGGGGATTCACCTGATTTGTTGACAAATGAGTTGCGGATCTATTCCTTGGCAGACAGCGGGTCCATCACTGGGTTTTTTTCCCCTAAGCAAAGAAACTCTCCAAAGACGCCTGTTTCTTACTTATTTTGCAAACTTGTGGGTTAAATTTTGGTACTCAAGCGATGGAGATGCAAGCAAGAGAATACGGTCATTTTTCAAAACAAAAGATTGTTTAGACTGAGAAAATAAATATAACAAAAAAAAATAATTAATCAAGTTGCCCAGTACCAATAGATCCACAGTTCCGGTTCACGACCCGGTGGTTGAGGACTACTGCCCTACAACATACTAATGAATTATTGTGGTCTAAAACCAGGCATTTCATTTTCATTGTCTAACTCTTGTATATTTACAGGGGTTGGACAATGAAAATGAAACAGCTGGTTTTAGACCACAATAATTCATTAGTATGTATAAAATCTACTGTGACGCAGTGGTGCAGTAGGTAGTGCTGTCACCTCACAGCAAGAAGGTCGCTGATTCGAGCCTCGGCTGGGTCAGTTGGCGTTTCTGTGTGGACTTTGCATATTTCCCTGCATTTAAGTGGGTTTTCTCCGGGTGCTCCGGTTTCCCCCACAGTCCAAAGACATGCAGTACAGGTGACTTGGGTAGGCTAAATTGTCCGTAGTGTATGAATGTAAATGAGTGTGTATGGATATTTCCCAGAGATGGGTTGCGGCTGGAAGGGCATCCGTTGTGTAAAAAACATGTGCTGGATAAGTTGGCGGTTCATTCTGCTGTGGCGATCCCAGATTAATAAAGGGACTAAGCTAAAAAGAAAATGAATGAATGAATAAAATCTTTTTTATTAGCATAAATCTTTTAAAACCATCATCATAGTGGATCATTATTCTATTATTATCTCCAGAACTTATGCATTCCCAAAGAGCACCCCATGACTTCTGAGGTTAATTTATTCCAGAAAAAAGGTCCACATTTGCTTTCAAAGCAAAAAAAAATATATATATAAATATATATATATATATAATAAGTATTTGGTGCCAGTTTATCAGTGAGTGACAATATTTTGTTTTCTTTGACTTGATGGATGGAAGCGGGGTTTTAATTGCAAATGTTTATGCTATATTCCCATTTTGGCAAAAATGTAATTCAAATCTCTGGATGGAAACATAAGTAATGAGCCAGTTTACATGCACTCCACGAAACCGCAGAACAAAACTCATTATATAAATCACATTTTAATTCTTACACTGTTTAGAAGTCAGTTTCACATGTCCATGTATAAAATAAGCAGCATACTAGCAGGTCTTTGAAAACTGTGAATATGCAGAGTTTACAATATAAATAATGTGTAAAAGAAATAATATGGTATTAAAAGTGCTGTGTTGAATGTATTTTACAGGAGTTTTGCACCTTTAGCAACATAAGGGGATGTTGATGCTAGTATGTCTTTTAGAACTGGCTTATAGGATTTATTTTAATCTACACAATGCATATTATGGGCCATTCAATACTCAGAAATACAACAATTACAAGTGCCAAGCATATTAACAACCATACTATATGTCAATCCTATGCAATTTATTACACACAATTAAACATTGTTAATCACTGAAAATCTACATATAAAAAAGAGATATTATACTAATGTATTTTCATAATTTTCATAGATAGTTATGTGGATTTATTCACAAGATACTTATTTTTTCTTTAGTTAATTTCCTTGTTGGCTTAAATGTGAAATAAATGTGGTACAAATTGCCCAGGTGGTGCCCAGGAAGAGCAGCATTTCTTTATATTAAATAGTCATATAAGACACAAAACTACACAAAAAAGTTTTTTTACTTACAAAATCCTGGTACTTTAAAAGCATTTACTCCCCGTTGAGTAAATGCAGAGCAAACTGAAGACAATATCCAGTATTTCTAAAACCGGAAAAAGACAACAAAACAAACAAATAATTAATGTTAAATCAGATATACTCAGACAAACTCTAATACACTAAAAAGCCCTCAAGCTCAGCAAAAAGATTACACAGCATACGTAATTAAGAGTTTAACAGACTTCATTATATGGAACTTACAATACATTAATCTAAACATTAGTATTATATAAGGCTACCCTATCAAGATAGAATATTCAGGTACAAAAAAAATGGCTTTAACGGTTTTCAATTTCCAGTTACTCCTGAAATGAACCAGTGGTGAGGCCACTCTGACAAAAATATGGAAAAGTCAGAATAAAAACTGCATAGAAAATATGTAACTAATCTCATTTGGATTATAAATGTAAAATATGAAACTGGTTAACAGCAACCTTTAGTCATTGTGAATTTGTTGACAAAATGTGAAGACCGCCTCCACTGCACGAAAATGAAAATATACAATTACGGTCCCAATGAGCTCTTTTTTTCTTCTTTATTTGACTTGACAGCATCTCTAAAAAAATAAAAGAGGCACTTTCCATGCTGACTATTCTGATTTGCTGTTCAAGAAAGAACATTAACTGTAATAAAATGAGTACTGTGATGATAGTATATTATAAATCATCTTAATATGTTTTCAGCAATTAATACTGATCATACTATCACAGTTAAAATAAACATCTAAACAGTGTAGCTATTTAAACAGGATTAATTCAACATTCTTGTGCTTTAGTCAATTTCCTGAAACAAATAAGAAAACTGCAGGCTGCAGAGTGTTTCATGATGGGATTATTTCTGCTATAAGCGCCACCTACTGAGAGAAAGAGTGAATTAAAATTTATTCAGCCTGTCAAATGGTTTCTGTAGGTGTATTTTTAAATGATACAATCTAAAATATGAATAATTGCTCATGCCTGCCAATATATGCAGCCTTTTTTGTGCAGTGGTTGCCTCTCATTTCTTTGGGAATAAATGTTCAGCTTAAGCTAAACGCCTAGTTCATGCTGTAATATGTTTTGTTTTCTTTATAATAAAGAAAAAACATGTTCAGTATCAGAATTAGATGAAGATTGAATAACTATATTTTTGCATTCACATCACAAATGATCATTTCTGTTTTTTACAGGTCTTGTGACAAAATGAATCATTTCGAAAACATTTTTGCCACATGGGTGTTAGTGTTTGCTCATAGTTATTAAATCATTTACTGTATTATCAGAGATTATAAATATAAGAAAGTAGTTATTTTACAATTAGTTCAAGTTAGGCACTGAGGTCCACGCATGCATCACATCGTCATTGAAACGAACACAAACACAAATGGACAGAGGCTAAAATGTCTAACTTAGTTCATCACACCTGTAGTTACACATGTAGTTACAGCGGACCGCCTTTATGATATCTGATATTGCGTGTGTCTGTTTATACTGTTTTGCTATGTTGATCTCAACAAAATGTTAAGATGTTCGAAAGAAATATAATAATAGCCATAATAATAACAATAAAGATTATAAAATCAACTACAGTTCAATGTACACCTACACAACAACAGGGCGATTGTGGTAAACAGTACGATTTAACGCTCATATAACGTTAGATATTCACTCGCTACAAAACCGCCACATTACAACCCTAAGCAACATGCTACGCTAGCATTTTAATTTGATTACATGTCACAAACTAGTTATATTAAAGTAAACTCAACCAATTAGTATAAATGTAGGCTATTTAAAAATATAAATACCAACAAGCGAGTGTTTTATAGCAGAGTTTAAACAACAAAAAGGGAACGTGTCCGCGAATTACCTCGATGTCACTTCTGAAGAGGTTCGGACGCTGGCCGCAAGTTTCCGTCTAGCTTTCCGTCTTCTTTCTGTCTAGCGTGTAGCAATAGTGCGACCCTCTGCAAACTAAGTGTTTACTGTGCGTTGGTTTTGGCTTTGATCGGTCAACTGAACTATTCGACCGTATATCCTAAAGCGTTAAATCCTCGAGAAACACAGACAACACAAGAGGGGACGAAAAAACGAAAGCTTCCTCTTCGCACTCTTCTTCGTGTGCGATTGATATTTACTGGATTATACCGCCACTAACAGGGCTGGAAGAGAAAATGGCTGGGTGCGCCCGAAAAAATGTTTCCATCATTGTTGCAAATTTATTGCATATGTTAGGCTATGTGGTAAATGCTATTTTAAAATTGTTTTATGCAAATCAGTTTTATTAAGATTATTTAATGTTGCTTATGTTCTGACTACGTCCTTGAGGGGCCAATTGGTATAGGTCTATTAGGCTTTTACAGCCTGTCTTTTTTCTTTCTTGAATGAGCTGTGCGATGTAGGATACTTTTACCATGGGGTTTTTATTAGTTTTTACAATGGAATTTCGTTGACTGATTTTTCCAATATTTATCAAAATATCTTGTTTTATGTTTAACAAGAAGTATGAAATCTATTAAAGAAACACTTGAAAGTTTCATTTTTGATCACTTAAAATCTTAGCGAGTGCGGATTTACAGTTATTGTTATGTTAATTCATTCATTTTCTTTTTTTCGGCTTAGTCCCTTTATTAATCTGGGGTTGCCACAGCGGAATGAACTGCCAACTTATCCAGCACTTGTTTTACGCAGCAGCCCTTCCAGCCGCAACCCTTCGCTAGGAAACATACACTCTAATTCACACACATACACACTACTGACAATTAGCCTACCCAATTCACCTGTATGTCTTTGGACTCTAGGGGAAACCTATGAGAACACGGAAAGAAAATGCAATCTCCACACTGAAATGCCAACTGACCCAGCTGAGGTGAACATGCTACCCACTGCGCCACTGTGCAGCACATTATTGTTATTATTACTACCATTGAGATTTTCTTTCCAAACATTAAAAAGGTTGCCATCTAGAGCATTTTTATCCCATAAAACATATATTTTCATATATGTTTATATTTGACATAAAGCAGTGCAAGCAAAACTACATGGCATCAAAAGACATCAGAGTTGACTCTGTATTTGTTGAATATTTTATCTGGCCCACATTATTCCTCCCTTCATATCACACCCGGACTGCCTTCATTCAGTTGTAGAAAAGTGTAAAAAATCTTCCAGACTGGTTGCTGTCATCTTTTGGATTCAGTGTGTCTTTGCAATAGTGATCATGAATTGGGGCATTATATATAAAAAAATCCATTCAGACTTCAACAGACTCAAGAGCACAATCTTGACAAACACTGCGTTTTTATAGTAGCCTATCAAAAAAGCAGGTTAACATCTGAACTGACAGCATAAATGTAAAAATATAATTTGAACCACAAGTTTGTCTTATTTCTGATTTGTATACATGGAGAGGACAGCGCTTATAACCTGTACTGCACCAGCCACTAGTGGGTGATCAACATGTTTTGGCCTCACATTTCAGGATAAGTGAGATGCACTTGTAAAAGCATGGCTGCATTCAGCTTCATGAAAACTCAGTTGTACTCAGTGTCAATGCATTTTATCTAGTCGTAAAGTTGGAAATGTAATTAGTGATGGCGTAGATTTTCTGATGGCTGTCTGCTTCAGGATGGAGTAACATGTATAAATTCTTATGTCTTTATGAATAATAAGAAAAGCCTAGATTATATAATGAACTTAGTGTCATCTCACTTAGAGTAAAGCTTGAATAATATGTGTGTGATTGCTTCTCTTTTTCCCCAATGATTTGTTTCCTCAGGATCTACCCAGCCAGGTCAGAGGTCATGGACACCTCTGAGTTTTGCCATTTTATGTGTTAAATCTTTTAAAGATAACTCCTTTTGTAAGTAAGCTGCCAGTTTGGATGTTGATTGTAGCAGTTTTGAACCAGTTTTGCTATACTGAGCCTTGGGTAAGAAACAGATTGTACTTTGAGTGTGTGTGTTCTATTTATTTTTCAGATCATTTCACAGGTCTGGGGTCAGCTCTAAAGTGGCTTCCTGACGTTATATGCTTGAGATGTTGAGATATGGTACACACACACACATGGGAATTTTCCAATCAGGTTAAAATGCCTACAGTGTCTATGACACAGTAATGACATTATGTGAGAGTATAATTGTTGATGTTTTAAAAAAGGTTAAGCTGAGAGGCCACAAACTCATTGTGAATGTTGAAGCTGGTTTCTGCAACTGCAAACTATCTTCAGTAAACTTCCTTTTAATTGATTCTCTGACCCCAGCTCTTCTTCATCTGACAGACCGGTCATTTTTGAGTTCAAACTGTAAAGTTTTCCTACATTATGATATGACATGAATGCAGTATGCAAACACTGCAGTCGGTTGTTTACCCATTCTTCAAGAAATAAATACAAAATATTTTAAGGCTTCTGTCATTTTTTGGACATGCAGATACCACATAGAGTTTTGAACGACATATGATCCCAGCAGTCATTCAAGATGATTTTGAGAGTTTGTTGCTGTAATGATGGTGTAATTGTGTAATTCATGTCATTATGTAGAGTGATGGCACTCATTCCCAAGGCCAGCAATGTTAAAAGCTAAATGTGAGAGCCAGATTGTGTTTGCAGCTCAGCAAACTGCATGCTCCCCTGAAGTTTCAGATTTGGAAAAAGGATGTATTTTAGTATAACATACAGTGATTTCTAAATAAAATTTCTATTATTATATTTTGGGCATGCAAACAACGAACTGTATAAAAACAGCGTACATTTAATCTCTTATCTGCTTAGCTGCTTGGACAGAATTGCTGCATTTCATGTTTTTGCATTTGCTTTACTTGCACTTTATGCTGTTATATTACACATGTATATTTGAAAATTAAAACAACATCAACAGTAATCAGATTTCAATTTCTAAAAAAAGCAATTGCAAGTTTTTTGTCTTAGAAGGTGTTGTGGATATTTTTCATGAACTGAGCACTTTAATTTCATAAAAAGAATGGTTGAGTAGAATGTATGAAGCTTGTATATGTAATATGTCAATGTTAATTTTATTTATATAGCACTATTAAACACAACCAGAGGTTGACCAATGTGCTGCACAATACACATCACAACAAAGAAAAATATAAAATTATAGCTAAAACAGACAATTTTCCTTAAAAAACAAAAAAAAAAAAAAAAAAAAAAAAAAAAACAAATCAAAGAGGTATGTCCATCATTGTTGCAAATTTATTGCATATGTTAGGCTATGTGGTAAATGCTATTTTTAAATTGTTTTATGCAAACCAGTTTTATTTAGATTATTTAATGTTGCTTATGTTCTGACTACGTCCTTGAGGGGCCAATTGGTATAGGTCTATTAGGCTTTTACAGCATGTCTTTTTTCTTTCTTGAATGAGCTGTGCGATGTAGGATACTTTTACCATGGGGTTTTTATTAGTTTTTACAATGGAATTTCGTTGACTGATTTTTCCAATAATTTATCAAAATATCTTGTATATTATGTATATGTGTGTATATATATATATAAATATAATGATTTTACACATTTGCAAAAGATGCCAATCTTAAGTTACAACTATATTGGTACTTAAAGGATATGAAGATCCAGACATCTGTAGACATTGACACCAGTATAAGAACCTCAATTAGTTTGTTTATTTAGCTTCAGCATTTTCCTTAGTTTTTGAAATACACAAATAAACTTGATACCGTTTAATATAAAATAAAATATGCATTATGAAAAATAATATATGCAGGCAACAGTTACACAGTAATGAAATAGAAAAAAAACTACAATGGATCTCATGCACAATATATGAAAAACTTCATTCTAATATGGTCTACATTGCCAACAATGCCATGTTATTTTTGTCAAAATATGGGTATATTATTAACACCTTTACCACCACTCGCACACACACAAGCACACACACTCACACGTTCTTCTTTACTTCTAGTGATTTTTATATACATCTTGTTATAGATACTATAACCTAATTATAACTGAAAAACCTTCTGTATTGTTACAAACCACAACAACAGCAGTAATGATAAAATAATTCATCATTTTATACATTTAAAAAAAGATTATTTTCTAAAATGAAGGTTTGGGCTGTTTCTGTCAGATTTAGCTCACTTCTGGGAACAAATCTGTCTCCAAAATATTATGTGGGTAAACACATGCACATTGCACACACAAATATATAATAACTCTGCATCACTTAAGCATTTCCCTGTAAAGGCAAGGCAGGGTTTTAAAGTAAAGTTTTAAACTAAAAGAATATCTTCTGGTCCAGTTTGTTCAGGTTAGCATGTCTTTATTTTATCTATGACGAGTGGTTAATCCACATGTCACTCTGTAAATTCCTCCTTTAGAAAAGTGATTCATGTGTGTTACGTTGTTATACCTCTGCATCAGAGAAGGACTTGCTCCCATTCTCTTTGTTACGTATAGTTGTCATTGAATTTGTCCAGGTATTAGTGCGTGAAACTTCTTCCGTGAAAGCGGTTTCCAAAACCTTCAGGATTGACTTGCGCACTTTGTCTTTAAAGTCCTGTCCCATGAAAACATACAACAGTGGGTTCAGGCAGCTGTTTAGGAAAGCCAAACTGGTCACAATGGGAATTCCAACAGTGATGACATGTTGCAGGGTGGGGCTGTATTCAGTACTCATGTGGTTTACCATCTCAATGAGCACCAGGATATGGTATGGAGCCCAACACAGGAAGAAGGCAGTGATCACTGCAGCTATGATCCTGAAAGGACGTCCAGTTTTGCCAGACATCGAACGGTTTCTTTGGAGACGATGGATGATGACTGCATAGCAGGAGACGATGATCACAAATGGCACCACAAAGCCTATGATGAAACGGGTAATGATCATGGCACGATGTCGTAGCATACGGAGGTCCTCCACCTCTTGTGTGTCAGCATCAGAGAAAGCAAAGTTGTTGAAGCAGTTGATTATTTTTGGGTCCCTGTTGTCCTGTGCAGTGTCCTTGAAGACAAAGTATGGTGAGCTCAGCAACAGAGCGAACAACCAAACCCCAAAGCTCACCGCAGATGCACGGCCCACATTCCGATGGTTCTGTGCCCAGATTGGACGCACCACAGACAC